TGTTTTGAGTATTTCCTGAACGTTGCATTCCTTATCGTTGAAAAAAAGGAAGAGAAAGCCTTGTTTTCGTTCTCCACCGGGTTACGGACGGGTATGACGGCACGGTTCGGGTGGCGCAGGTGGTCCCGTGCCCTCCTGGTGCGGCTCACGCGGGAGCGGGGGGGACGCCGAGGTCAAGGGGTTAGCGCGGTCGGGAGCCCCGCCGTCCCAGCGAGCCGGCCTCGGGGAGTCGGGATCTTCAAGCTGTTGACTCGGAGGTGACCGGGGTCAGGTTGTAGCTTAACTTTTTTATCTGCTAGTCTCCAGAGTTGACGGAGCAAAAGCTTCGAGCCTGTTTAGAGCACAGCGTGAGTGAGCACAGCGCGCGCTGCCCGCACACGCCTGCGTTCTCGGTGGCGGCCGGGCCGGGGGAAGCGCCCCGTCTTCTGATGAGCTGCGCGGTAAGCCTCCCGCAGGACCCAGCGGCGGGTGGCGGTCCCGCCCAGCGGAAATCATACAGACGGGTAGATGTTTACAAATGCTTAGTCTTGCATAGGAGAGTGGGGGTAATGTGTTACTTACGCTAGGAGGTCCGCGGTCACCCGAGGGCCTCCTGTTTCAGAGAGGACTCCGGGACGGCCGGGGCGCAGCCTGGACGGGGAGGGCCGGGTGCACCTTACCCAGGGTAACGCACAGCCATGAGGGCCTGTGCGAGCGCTCTGGGTGGTCATGGGATGACGGAGCGCGCCAGACCGCCAGATAGCCAGGGGCGTCCCCCGTGCCAGCGGTCAGGGGCTCCTCAGCGTGGTGGTGGGGCTGAGCGAGACGCCCGCGGTCGGGAGGGGAGACCCAGGAACACGTGCTGGCCCGAGGGCACCGCGAGCTCGGGTTCTGCCGGCAGTGGGCCTGCCCGTCAGTCGTGGGTTCACAGCCACCGGCCGCCCGTGTGCTGAGGGGAGGGTGTTTGGAGCCCGTGCCTGGGACCTGACCTGAGCCCCAGGTGCACACGCTGCAGGATGGGGGTCCCGAGGGCAGACGCCCCACTGGAGCCGCCTCGTGTCCCTGCTGATGAGACCTGAATTGTGGACAGAGGTGGTGTTGGTGACTGGGACTCTCTGTTTAAATCCAGGCTTGTGATACGTGGGCTGTGATCCTCTAGAGCGGCCTCCACGCGTTCTCCTGGGGACACGACTCGCTCCGCCTGAGACAGGCCCTTGTAAATGCCAGCCTTTAATTTATGATTTATTTTGTATTAAAATTTTCAACCTGTCTGCTCTTGGTGTGTTGTGATGCAGGCCGAAGGGAGAGGAATAAAAGGACAAAGCACCTTGGAGGAGAGAAACCAATTTTATTGTCCATCATTATGTTATACAAAAATCTCGGAGCAAGGGAGTCGTAGAGAAGCAATAAACAGAGTAAATGAGAGGGCAACAGAAATAATTTAAATCTGAGTTATTCTCCATGATATCGGGAAGGCAACCACCTCGAAGCCCATGTGCGTCTGGCTTCAGAGCAGGCTGGTTCCCTGGCAAAGCCCGGCGTCTGGTCTGCTCTATGGACTCTTGACAAAACCTTTGAGATCCTCGAGAAAAGTAATGTATTCCTGGTGCTCCAGGGCTGTGCTGAGCTCCACCAGCTCGTCTGCGAATGTGTTATCCACCCCTCGGTCGGCCAGGAAATCCATCAGGTGGTCATACAAGGCCTGTGGGCAACAGAGGCCTTTCCTAGTCCCAGGCTGCGCCCCTGCCGGCTGCCCAGCCGCCCGCCCGTCCACCCCCCTGCCCGCACTCACCCAGTCCAGGGAGTCGGTGTTGAGCGTGTAATTCGTGTCCTTCCAGTCAGACTCGCCGACGGACTGAAAGCTCACCTCCCTGATGGAGAAAATGTCACTCTCCTCCTCCTCCTCTTGCCCGACCTGAGAACAGACGGCGTTTGGAGGAAGTGAAGCCCTAGCCCGGGACAAACCGGGCTATTTATAACTGCGAACTCCCCAGACTTCACCCCTTCCCCAGCTCTGCTGGTCTCTGCTGCACAACGCTGGTGTCCTTGCCCCCCCAACCCCCCCCCCAGCCCACAGTACCTCATCTTCCGGATAATGACAGTCCAGCACCAGGGCCTTCCTGCCACCGTCCTTAACGACTTCCACCACGAAATTGGGCGTGGACGTCAGTTCAGGCTGCGGAAGCGAGAGCGCGTCAGGCCGCTGCCTGGACCGGGGGGCTCGCGGTTCTGGGGGTCTGACGACCACCACTGTTAGGACAGCCCTTAGCCGCTTCCAAACTCCTACACGATCCTGCGACTCAACACGGAGCCTAGAACCTTCCACAGCACTAAAGCCACATACCAGCTTGTTCGGGAGGCTGAGCTACACTTCCCGTTGGTCCTTCCCCGAGTTCTGAACCAGGTTTTATTTTTTAATTTTTTTTAAAGATTTTATTTATTTGACAGAGAGAAACACAGCAAGAGAGGGAACACAAGCAGAGTAAGGGGGAGAGGGAGAAGCAGGCTTCCTGCTGAGCAGGGAGCCCAACCTGGGACTTGATCCCAGGACCCTGAGATCATGACCTGAGCCGAAGGCTGACGCTTCACCAACTGAGCCACCCGGGTGCCCCTAAGAATCTTTTTTGTTTGTTTGTTTGTTTGTTTACCGGACTCACTCCCTGTCTTTCTCCTTCCAAGGCATGCCTGGAGAGAATGAGAAACAGCCGGGACAGGCTCCTGAACAGATACCGCCAGGCTGGAGGCAATATGCCAAGGAGATCTCAGAACACCCTTCTGGTGCAGGAGGTGATGGAAGAAGAGTGGAGTGCTTTGCAGTGTGTGGACAGCTGTCCAGAGGTCTCGACCCAGGTCAGGCTGGGATATGTGTCTCTGGGGAGGGTGCTACAGCAGCAAGAGTGCCCTGGGTCCCCAAGTCCTCTGAACCCCTCCACCTTCCACCCTCCAGCCCCCAGTCAGGATTCCAACTGCCTTGAACCCAGGCTCTTCCATCTTTAGGGTTAGACTCTTCTAGATTCATGGTTCATAAATACCAGATTCTACCAATCGGTTGCATCATCGCATCTGTGAAACTAAAAAGAAAGATGTTTCACCCCTGGGCTCCCCTGCTGGAAATTTTGATTCAGCAGACATGGGCTAGCAATCTCTCTTAAAGTGGAGCTCTCTGATTCTCATCTCGGCCAGAGTCAGGGGCTGGGTGTGGACCGGAAACCATTTACCCTGCACGAGGAAGAGCCCTGGCTTGGATGTCAGTGGTTCTGGAATTCTGACCCTGGTTTTGCTTTGGACCCTTACTTGTCCTGTGCCTCCAAGCTTCACTTTCACGTTTAAATGAGGAAGAAGAGAGTGTGGTCAGCACAGTGAGGATGATATAAGAGAACCTTGGCAAACTGCCCTGAAAACATCAGGGCTGTCTGTAGTCATGATGCGTTATCGGGTGCCTCCCGTGTGTCCCAAGCACGGGCCAGACGTCTGGGTTACAGAGTCCTATTTAGTGCTCACAAAGGCCCATTCAGGTCTATTCCCACTTGACAGAGGCCCGACGTGAGGTTTACGGGGTTAGGAACTCCCCCCAGCAGCTCCGGAGCTTTGGCAGAACAAGTACTTAGCTGGTGCCCTCTACCCTCTCCCCCCAAATTTGGGGCCCTTGTTTTGTTACTGGGTGGTTTAATCATTTGTTGATGACTTCTCAGGGGGATCCCATTAGCACATCGTCAGCATATCCTACAGAAGGATTGAACAGATCTCAGTTAAAGCGGAGTTCTTCAGGCCAGCCTCCCAAGCCTGAGTCACTGGGGGACTTGCTGGCTGATTAGAACTCCACTTTCTCTTGCAGTTGGAGGAGCTGTTGGACGTGACTGTGCTCGAGGAAAACCAGCAGGAGATGGCTGACCAAGGTGACCTCTGGGAGGGTCCTTCCACCTGCACCTAGCTACTGGAGTGCTTTCCAAAGCAGAATTCCTTCTTAACTGCCCCCCCTCTATGCCCCACTCTGGGCGGGTGTCCGAAGTCCCTGCTTTTACTCTGGAGTCTTGGCTCTTCCCGAGAGTCTGTTGTGACTGGGCCTGGTGCTCGGACTCCGCGTTCCGTGCGATCGCTTTCTCCTGGGGACTAAGCTGACCAGCTAGCATGAGCGAGAAGAGGGGTGCAGGCGGCTCAGCGAGCGGTGGGGCCGAGAAGCCGCCTCCGTGTGGCGAGTCTGGGTCCCGTGTTTATTCTGTCCTCCGGTTCCTCTCCATTAATAGCTGAATAGCAGTCCCGTCACCGTACAGGACGCAGTCGAGATCAGAGCGCTTGCGTCCCTGCTTTGAGTGCCTTCCCTCACAGCCGTTCCCTGCTGCCTCCGGGCGCTCATGCTGCCCACCCCCTGGGGCACTGCTAGGGCCGCGGGGTGCGGCCCAGCAGCTGTGTTGCTGAGCCCTGTTGGGCCCTGGCTTCGTTGTTATTTCCTGTAAGAGACAGCGTAGACCTGCCCTCTAAGTCTGTAGGCTTATGTAGCGTGGGGACGAGAGCCAGCACCTCGCCAGTAAGCGGCGGCTGCCCAAGGAGGGTGTGGGAGGGCAGACCGTCGGCCCGACTGCGAAGACGCACTTCTCGGCCGGGTCGTGAGCGTTAAGGTTTTGTGGTCCGTACGGTCTCTGGGGCAGCGATTCGGTCCTGCTCCGGTGTAAAACGGCCACAGGGCTCATGGGCATGACCGTGTTCCCATAGGACTTGACTTAGAAGATCGCCAGTGGGCTGGTCGGGCTGTGGTTGGCCGGCCCTGGCGTGTAGACTGGGAGCTCACGCTTCTGTGCGTTTGTCCCTCCTTCCTGCCACATCCTCGGCGTGGTTGTGTGCTCGCTGCATGAAGGAACACAGATTGTGAACAGCACAGACTGAGCACACGGACGTCGGGGAACAGATCGCTTTAAACTCAGCACCTAGTGCCCAGTCAGGGTCTTCTCTCTGCTCTGCTCCCGTCGCCTGGGGGGCAGGCGGGGGTGAACGCTGTGTCCTCGGCCCTTAGCCCCGGTGCTGCTCACGCAGGACAGGCAAGAGGGGAGGGAGCCAACAAGACGGAGCCTGGCAGAGCAGATGGGTAGCGGGATTCTGCCTGGATTCTTCTCTGGTGTGGGTGCGGCTTCCCGTGCAGGCCAGGGGCCCGGCCAGGGAGGGAGGCGGGGAGCTCGCTGGAGCCGCCCTTTGCCCCGCAGAGTGGTGCATCCTCAGGGAGTACGAGAAGAGCCTGCAGTTCGATGAGAAGTGTCTCAGCGTCATGCTGGCCGAGTGGGAGGCAAATGCCCTCATCTGTCCCGTGTGCACAAAGTAAGAGATGCAAACCCCTGCGGCGTGACGGGTGGGTGGCATGTCCCCTGGAAGCTGGTTGTCCGGAAAGGTCTGGGGGTGCTGGGGTGCCCGCTGTGATCCCGGCTCTGCTTCCAGGTCCAACGTGAGCGTGTCGGGCGGTGTGGTCGCGTGTCCGTGTGGCCTGTACCTCCCCTCGCACGTGAGTGTCCCCCTTCCCACGGGCGTCTGCTTGCTGGAGGCCCCTTCGCTGGCGCTGCTGGAGCCGGTGGTGCACGTTTGCTCCCGGCGGCCCGGCCGCCTCGCCCCGGTGGCTGCGCTCGAGACCTTTACAGCGGGAACACCGGTCCCTGGTCTTCCCGCAAAGTTCCCACGTGGGAAGACACAACGAGTGGCCCTAAGTGGCGGGACGGGGCCTGAACGTTGGCGGCGGCGAAGGGTGACGCCGAGCGGGCGTTTCGGCCGGGGCTCCAGGCC